CTGCTCAGAGAAACCACTGGTCTAGTTGGACTTATTTCTGAAGAACTCCTGGTGTTCCCCACAATCACCTCCTGGTGTTCCCCACGATTACCTCCTACCTAAGTGCTCCCCCAACTGCACAGCGTTTGATTTCTGTGCCTTGTGACACTTATCACGCTTGTTTTAATACAAGAGGGTATTCACCCACCTCTTTTCTTCAAGTCGTTCTTCTTTGTTGGAATTCCTTACATTTCCAGGCACACAAACCACCCACATTTCCCCTGAGGTATAAGTTTTTTCCATCCCTCCACCCCCTAGGGCGAATTAAGCTCCTTCCTTCAAGCTACATTAAAATCTTCTTCCTTCAATCCCCATACGGCCCTCGCAGCTTTCTCCCAGACCTCCAACACACATTACACTTAATTCTTTATGTGACTGCCGCCCCAAGTCAGTGGGAGCAGAGGCTGGGTCCTATTCATCCTCCAATTCTTGGCACAGAGCAGGCCCCAGTCAACACATAGGAACAGAGGAGAAATGTGACGGATGGCTCAGTGAGCGCATGCACAGGGCGCTAGGTGGGCTCCCAGCAACACTGAGTTCATGCCCAGCTTCTGCCCGTTTCTCCTAAGAACGTGCTCTGCTGGGCTCCAGGCAATCTCACTCTTGGGAGGAGCTGGGAGTACCAGGGAAGGTAGCAATTTCGTTTCTCTCTCTCGTGGCCACGAGTATGACATCATCTGCTCAGTCGGCACGTCCAGAGCGTTCCTGACAGTTTTCTCATCCCGGACAGCAGGAGGAAGCCCTTTCCCCTCGCCTCAGCGTTTCCTGAAACCTCAGGTCATTCTGGTTGGTGATGTTTTCCGTCCTTGGAGACGTGTCCTCCTTTCCACGTTTTTCGAGTCCCTCTTGGGCCTGAGTTTCTCAGAGGCACCCCCCTGCCCCCCAGCACTGGGTCAGCCTCTTTAAGTATTTTCTTCCTTTTATTTCCTGTCTGGGATGATTTTAAGCTTTAGAAACAGAATTTAATTCTTGGGAACCCTCTAATCTGTATTATAAAAGGCCCGTGGCTGTAATGCCGTAACGCTGGAACGACCAAACGACTGTCACCAGGAGGTACATGGAGCACCTCTTGGTCCCTCCCCCTGGCCAGTGAGCAGTGGCTCTTGCGGCAGGCAGGGTGGGGTGCGAGCTACAAGTGGTGGAGGGTGGGGTATGAGCTATGAGTGGCGATGGGTGGGGTGGCCAGCTGAAGCAGGCGGAAGCAAGCTACTCGTGCACGATTTTGTGCGCGCTGGGCCTCTAGTGTTACAAGAATTGTCCAACATGGTGGCAGCAGGTGGAAAGAACGGGACAAGCTGGAGAGACATTAATAACAGGCAAGTAAGGACTTGATGACCATTTGAACATGGAGGAGGAGAGGAGATGACTCCCAGGGACCAGGGGAGGACTGGCGATTTCTGCTCTAGATACGGTCACAGGAGGAGGGGGGGAGGGAGACAAGGAGGGGAAGCAGGGTGTCTGAGAAGATCACGGGCATGGTCTGCAATGTCTAGGTCAGTGGTCGGCAAACTGCGGCCCCTTGAGTGTGGCTCTTCCACAAAATGCCATGTGCGGGCGAACACATACAATACGATTGAAACTTCGTGGCCACACTCAAGGGGCTAAAGAGCCGCATGTGGCTCGTGAGCCGCAGTTTGCCGACCACTGGTATAGAGTCTGAGGTTTTCATGGGAGACAAGGTGGAGATGCTGAAGGGGGAGCTGGATATGAGTCTGGTGCTCTGGACAGGAATTGTGATTGGGGGCTGGCTGTTGGCGTGTAGATGCCGCTGAGGGTGAAAGAGAAGATGAGCGCCCAGATAGTGCATGGTGATGGAATAGACGGCGAGGAATGGAGCAGGAAGAAAGGTCCTTGCAGGACACAGAAGCCATGGTCAGGGAGAGAAGAGGAGAGCCAGGAGTTCCCTGGAGGAAGGGCTGCGGGACAGAAGGGAGGTGGCAGATTTAAATGACACAGAGAGCTCGGTTCAGAAAAAGTGCCCGTTGGGTTAGGTTATTGAGGACCAGGGGGAGGGCAGCCTCAGCAGAATTGCCGGGTTGAGAGGAGAGGCCGTGGGAACAGACACAGGGATGCATCAAAACGGGTTCACTCACCCATCCAGTCCACCAACAACCGGAGGGGCCACTGTGCACCAGGGCCCCTTACAGGACACAGAGGTGGGGCAAACAGGCAGAGCCCCGCCCCCACGGCGTGTACTTTCTAGGGAGAGGTTGCACGGAGGGAGATTCAGTTGAAAGACGATCATTGGAATGGTCATCATTCCACAGATGAGGAGGCAAGGGAAGTTAGATGGGAACTGGCTCAAGGTCAGGACATCAGAGCTGGGGTCGTGGCCTGACCTGCTGGGCTCTTTCCATTCTTTGCTGCCTGAAGGGGATGGAGTTTAGGTGGGAAGCGATGATGCAGAAGGAACACAAGGTGGGGAAGAACAAAGGTGTAAGGTGCAGGGTTATTTTCGGCTGGGTGGGCCTTCTCAGAGCAAGGTTGCTACTAGCTCCTGCTGTCCTTGACCCAGGACCCCTGCATTGGACCTGGTGCTTGGGCTCAGGGATGACAGGTGCTGAGACCTACATGTTCTCACGTGGTTCTATTGGTGCCAGAAGTTTGAGAGGCGGCCTGTGGTAGCCACTCCCCACCACTTCCCCACACTCCCGCCCCCTTACCGAGGAGTAAATCTCCATTTCCTGTGGAGACCCTGATCAGTATGGCTTGAGTGGGGGCTGAATATATCTCCACTTATTCAGGGTGGGCACAGGAACCCAAGCAAGGCCAATCAATGCCCCTCCATGAGATCAGACATAGAGATGCTTAGGGACCAGGTGGGCCACCCGTAGCCATGCCGACTGCCTGAAGAACACACCAAGTAGAGATGAGCAGAGTCCAGAGATAGAGGAGACCGAGCTCTGTCAGTATCATTTGAGTTCCTGAATCCAGCGCTGTCCTAATCTATCAAGAACTATTCTAGACTTCCCGATGGCTCGGACCAATGAATTACCTCTCCCCCAAATTTGAGTAGCGTTTCTACATTTGCAACGGAAAGGATCAGACCAATATGTCAGCTGCAACGGTGTGAAACATATCATCTACTTTCACAGAAGCTGACTGGCTCCAGGGACTGCCTCCATGGAGCCTGATGTATTAGCCACTTTCTAGATGTTAGCCTTGCAGGTGACAAAGCCATGAACTTACAGCCAGCCATGGCATAGATCAGCGGTTCTCAACCTGTGGGTCACGACCCCTTTGGCGGTCGAACGACCCTTTCACAGGGGTCGCCTAAGACCATCCTGCATATCAGACATTTATATTACGATTCATAACTGTAGCAACATTACAGTTATGAAGTAGCAACGAAAATAATTTTATGGTTGGGGGTCACAACATGAGGAACTGTATTAAAGGGTCGTGGCATGAGGAAGGTTGAGAACCACTGGCATAGATGACGACAGATACAAAAGAATCACCATTGACAAAATGCTTTACATTCATTACCCTGAAGCCACAATCACAGGAGACAATTAGCTAGCAGTTCCAGCATGGTTTCGGTGAGTCCGGACAGAGCTGGAGAGAGGTTCCCAGCTCTGGGAGCTCAGAGGAAGGGGCTGGGCAGGAGGGGGAGTGCACTTTGGGTGGGGTGGGTGGAGGACGGACAGAGAGGGGGACAAGGTGTCTGTATGAGCATGAACATGAGTGTGAGAGCTGCTTCTCATACCTTTCCCATTCCAGCGTGGGCATGTCCCAGCTTGACCACCACGGGGAAGTGAGGGGCTGTGAGCTGGAAGAGACAAGAGGAAATCACTCATTAGCATCTCAGAGCATCTCCACCAAGGCTCTGGGCGTGGCCTGTGCTGCAGAAACACTCAGTCATCTGACACCCCCAGGAATCCCCAGTAGGATGCCTTGACAGGTGGTCATCCTGCCAGGCTCAAATGCCCTAAATGCTGACACTTCCGGCTTCCAAAGGAAGCTCCTGCCCTTAAAACCTTTCTGCCCAGGGCATCCACCAATCAGAGAGATGGCAGAGGGAAGTAAATGACCGCTTTCACATCCTGGCTTGTGTGACCTCTGACCAGCTGCTACATGGATCTGTGCCTCAGTTTCCTTGTCAATGAGATGGGGGTGATGAGTACCCATCCCATAGGGTTGCTGTGAGAATTAAGTGAGTTACAGCATGGGAAGCACTTATGTTGTAAGTACCCAATGAATGGCAGCTCCGTTATTCCTGTTACAGTTCTGCCTTAGGTTATTTCCCCAACAACCTTCAAATATCTGGAAATTCTCATTTCCTCTCCCAAGCCCTCTCCAGGCCACCCTGAGAGGTTTCAAGTCCATGGGACCACGCCCACCAGGGGCACATGCATATATTGGTCACACCATGCGTGCGGGGCACTGTGCTGAGCGAGGGCTGGGGTGATCTCCAACCGGCCTCGCTGGTCCCCTGTTGCATCCCCAGCTTCCAGAACACTGCCGGCCCAGGAAAGGCCCCTGACACAGAATCTGGGTGTCGGCGAGAAGGAAGAGGCACTTTGGGGCCAGATTATTGGGGGTCTTCAAAGCTGAAAGGAGGGGTACACGTGGCTTGGATGGGCCTTGGGGAAGTCGCTCAGTCTGGGGAAAGGAAAGCGACCTGCCAGCTGCAGGATGAACTGTATCAGGAGAGACCGAAGGGCCAGACCCCGACGTGGAATTGATTAAAACTGACAGGAAGTGCCACTGCTTGGGCCTGGACTGGGGCGGGGACAGTGAAACGTTTTAAAATGGAAATAACAGTTTTCAAATGACTGTAGAAATTCAGGAAGGGGATTGTTCACAACCTCATCACTTAATCAAATCAGAATGTTGGTCCACGCGACTTCAGAATCCTCGTTTATAGGTCTAATTACAAAATGGGATACTCTGCAATAATATTAGAGATAGAATTTTACACCTGTCTCCTCATTTAAACATTACGCATTAAGCTTTTTCCTATTTTTGCCACCATCTCCAACCCACACCCCCCGTCCCCCCATCTCTCTCCTCCACTCTCCAGCCCAGCTGACTGATCTCACCTGCTGGGTGTGTGTGGTGTGTATTCCTGCCCATCACTCATTACATTCAACCTCTGCAAACATGTACACACATACATGGTTGAAGCTGACATTTGTGTTCTCAAAAATGGCTCTTTTCACACCATGTACAGACCCTGTCCTACATCCATAGCTACACTCCTAACCCAATAGTTTCAATAGCTTCACACTATTCCACATGCTGCAATTCTTCAGCCATTTTCCTATTAATGGACATTTGTGTAGTTCCCTCTCTGCCACTCAAGAATGACCACTAAACATCGGTGTCCGCATGTCCTTATAAACGAATATCTTAATTCTCAGAGGCCAGGCCAAGAGTCCTGCAGGGGGAGACTCAGCAGAATTTGGAGACATCCGGATAGGTTTCTAAAGTCATTTGTTACAGCCCAAGAGATGAAAGTGGGCGCCATGGTGTTGAACTCTGGGTGAGTCCACTCACCATAGCAACTCCCAGGCTAATAGCAGCTACATTTACTGAGTGTCTGGTCAGAGCCAGGAACAGTACCGGGCACTTTATGTACCGGGGTGGGCAAACGTAGGTCTACAGGTGTTTGTATGGAAAATAATACAATAATTAGTAAATACTAATACGAGAACAAACTCTGTTTTCTGTATTCACAACTGTAAACCTACTTTTGCCCACCCCAGTTTGTCAGCATTCTTCCCTTTCCCCATGTGATAGAGGAGACATCAGAGGCAGGTCATTTATCCAAGGTCAGACAGTTAGAATGGCGGTGCTTTTCCCTGCCACCCAGGACCACCCACCCCGCTCCCTTCCCAAGCTGTTCAAATAGGTTTCAAAGGCCATTCCCATTTGCAACATGCCAGCCCCTTCCCGAACACAGGCAAGGTCACAGAGAACAAAAAACATCTTGTCGGCTATTTTCTCTCTTCCCTTCCCAACAATAGCTTTATTAGTTTCCCTGGGGATGGCGAGCCCTGCACCAGCTTCTCACAGGCTCCCTGTCCCTGCTCACATGCCCCGGGGGCCCCAGAGTTCAGCCCTGCCCAGTGGCATGAGCGGCCTCACATCCGGCGAGAAGGGGCAGATCAATTTTGAAACCAGAGATCCCCACCCAGATAAGGGCCCTATTCATCTCTCCCAAGAAATCAAAATCAGTGGGGGTGGCCCAGTGCCCAGGCTGGGCATTCTCCTGGGGGGTTGGAGGCAGAGCAGAGCGAGCCCAGATCAGCACTGTGTCAACCTCGTCTTCACGCCCGGGGATGAACAGTACCGGGCACTTTATGTACCGGGGTGGGCAAACGTAGGTCTACAGGTGTTTGTATGGAAAATAATACAATAATTAGTAAATACTAATACGAGAACAAACTCTGTGTTTTCTGTATTTACAACTGTAAACCTATTTTTGCCCACCCCAGTTTGTCAGCATTCTTCCCTTTCCCCATGTGATAGAGGAGACATCAGAGGCAGGTCATTTATCCAAGGTCAGACAGTTAGAATGGCAGTGCTTTTCCCTGCCACCCAGGTCTCGTCTCCACTGCCCAACCCTCTCCCTTCCCAAGCTGTTCAAATAGGTTTCAAAGGCCATTCCCATTTGCAACATGCCAGCCCCTTCCCGAACACAGGCAAGGTCACAGAGAACAAAAAACATCTTGTCGGCTATTTTCTCTCTTCCCTTCCCAACAATAGCTTTATTAGTTTCCCTGGGGATGGCGAGCCCTGCACCAGCTTCTCACAGGCTCCCTGTCCCTGCTCACATGCCCCGGGGGCCCCAGAGTTCAGCCCTGCCCAGTGGCATGAGCGGCCTCACATCCGGCGAGAAGGGGCAGATCAATTTTGAAACCAGAGATCCCCACCCAGATAAGGGCCCTATTCATCTCTCCCAAGAAATCAAAATCAGTGG